TCCTCTCTCCACTTACGGAGACAAATAAGAACTTCTTTGCACCCAAGAAGTGTGTAATCTCATTTCTCACCAAAGAGTGAGTTTTCAAGACAAACTCTGCAAACAGGGAGCGGGTTTTGAGTACACTGCCATTCCCTAATGCTGTGGCTCGAGGCCAAAGGCAGGCAAGCATGGAGCAGATGGAGTCCTGGCAAGGTCTCCGCTGTCCCTGCATTAGCAGCATCTGCTCATTACTCAGAACCTTCGCCTGCTTTATCTAATGCTCCAGGAAAAGCATTTTGATTTGATTCATTTCGGTACGGTAACGTGCAACACAATTAGTGGTAAAATCAAACTGGAGGACGGCCAGTGCTGACAATCGGAAACAAGGCAGAAGAAATATGAGGCCAGGGGGTTGGAATTCAAAAAATCACTACTGTGGATCACCTTGCCAAATCTCAACAGCCCAGGTGGGTGGACAGTGTTCCTACAGGGCAAGGAGGCTAAAAAGGATGTAGGGATGACTTTCTGTCTCCCAAAGCAGTCTGCATTTCCCTCTCTGGATCTGCCTCCTTCTGGGGAGATGTGGAGACCATCAAGGGGGTCTCAATGGCTACAGAGCTTCCCTTTGGCACAGCCAGGGAGTTGAAGTTCATTAACTCATTTTATTCTCTTATTCTTCCCTTCTGTGGGGTGCAGTCACAAATTTTATACAGCAGACCACACAAGGTAAATTTCCTTTTTGCCATGTTGTGCCTAAGAAGTGCCTGTTCCTGCTCCTGGAAAGGAGCAATCTAAAAATGTGCGTTTGATTATTTCAATCTGTCTTTGCCCAGAAGTAGCTACTCATGAATATGTTGGTATAAATATCACAGTGTCAATCTGTTAAACTGAAGTGAGACCAAAACCAACGCCACCTGAGGTCTGGGGGAAAAACGAGAAGTTGCTGTTTATCTCAGAAATAGTAACAGCCCCAATCAGACTGGTAAAACAAGCTCAGAGTGAGAAGGGAGCAAAAAACACAAAAGCTCCTATCGAAGAAATAATCCCAATACCAAAAGGAATTTGAGACAAATCAAAGATTTCAATGTAAATGACGCAGCCATGGAAGCAGCACAGATTTAACTAATGTCAGAGTAGGGGAAATCCCCCTGAGCATAACATGAAACCCAAAAGGACAAACACGATGATGTAAATGTAAACAACTAGACAGTCCAACTGGGACAGAACGCAACATCCGGGGACAGATCCAAATACTAAAAAAATTTCGTATCTAAAAACTTACAAAGACAGCACCTCTAACCAGTGAGGTAGAGATGTGCTTTCCGACAAGAGATGCTGGAGAAAAGATACACAGTCACATGCCATATAAGACCATTTTGGTCAACGACGGACTGCGTATCTGACGGTGATCCCATAAGATTAGAACCATACAGCCTAGGTGTGTAGTAGGCTGTACCACCTAGGTTTGTGTAAATATATTTTATAACGTTCCCACAAGGATGAAATTGCCTAACGACGCATTTCTCAGAACATACTCCTGTTGTTAAGTGACATACAACTGGACTCAGATTTATATCTTATACTATCCAAGGATGAACTCTCTATTGATCAAGATTCAAATATGAAAAATGAACCACAGCAGTAACAAATGAAAAAGAAAGAATTATAAGTAGCAGGTACAAATATGAAAAAACTTCAAACTCTCTAACACTAAGAAATGTAAATTGAAACTACACATAGATACCATTTCTTATCTATCAAATTGACAAATACATAAAAGTTTGAAACATATTTTGCTGATAAAATTGTGAGGAAATGGTCACACCTTCATACCCTGCTGTTAAGAGTGCAAACCAGCATAACGCCATTTGCATTTACCCTCAGCTCAGACATTTTATAGGAAACTATTCTTCCTGCACTCACACGAAATATCACGTTTAAGATTTTTCTTTACAACACTGTAATAGCAAAAGATCAGAAACAACATAACTGTTCCTAAATCAGAGACTGTGTAAATGAACCAAGGTACATGTACACAAAGGAATACTATCCAGGTAGGAAAAAGGAGGGCATTCTCTGTACACTGACATAGACAACCTCTCAAGATGTCATTAAGGGAAAAAAGCCAAGGTGTGGAATAATACAAAGTAGTATGCTATTTTTGTTTAAAAAGGGGTGGAGAGAGGCAGCCCACTGGTGTAGTGGTTAAGTTTACACATTCCACTGCGGTGGCCCAGGGTTTGCAGGTTCGGATCCCGGGCACAGACCTATGCACCACTCATCAAGCCATGCTGTGGTGGCATCCCACATACAAAACAGAGGAAGACTGGCACGGATGTTAGCTCAGGACCAATCTTCCTCACCAAAAAAATAACAATTAAAAATTTTAAAAGTGGGGGTGAGTAAGAACTTGCTTCTTATTCATACTTGCTTGTTTGCAATACAGAAATACTGCAAGGATAGAGAAGAAACTAAAATATATGATTCCATTAGAATGGTGTGGATAAAAATGGGGAGGAGCAAGACTTCTCAATGTATAACTGCTTATATTAGTTTGATCTTACATCGCCAAAAATGTATTTAGTCAAAAACATTACAAAATAAAACCATTCCTTTATGAATTCAAAAATCACGCACTGTGTATATACACACAACTACCATCTAGAAAAATAAACCCTAAACAAAGTCCACTGAAGAATAAATGACAAACAAAAAATACTCGAAATAGTTATGACTAGGGTTACTTCCTTAGCTATTTCTTTTCAACCAGAAAATATAACAACCCAAAGAAAAATGGGGAAAGAACAACGTGCAAAGAAAGAAAAAGAAATAATAACACAACAAAAAGACGTTCATGTATTCTTATACAGAAGGGCAAACAGAAACAGTGAAGTACCATTTCCACCTACCAGACAAGCAGGAGGAAGCAGTCACTCTTACACGTTTTGGTGAGACTATCAACTAGTGAAACCTTTTTGAAGGGCAATTTGGTAATGTTTATCAAAACATAAAGCATCTGTACCCTCCAACCCAATAATTACTAGTAATTTACCCCATGGATATACTTGCACGAGTCCATCATGGTGTTTGTTCAAGCATATTGCTTACTGCATTGTTTTTAATAACAAAAATAAACAGTGCAAATGTGCATCACTAAGGGCCCTAAAACATAAATTATAATACAGCCACATAATGCAATACTATACAGGCTGAAAAAGAATAAGGTTTCCCTATCAGTGCCAATACGAAAGAGACCAAGATGAGCCATGAGGTGAAAGCAGCGAGGCGCAGAAACACACAGCGTAGGTAGGACCACGCGTCAAATGAGGCAGGCCAGAGGCAAGGGAGCGTGAGGAACACTTCAACTTCTTTTTGGATACGTTTTCTTATACATTTTATATTTTTTTGCTCTGTTCGAATTTTAACTATGGAATTTGTTTTAAAACCAAGTATTTAAAACATATTTGGGTAATTAGCTGCTGAAGGAAGAAGTTTCTCTATCCTCTCTCCACGGCTCTCCAATATTTCTGGCAACAACAGGGACGAGGGCAACAGAGACAATTCTAAGCAACAAGGTAAAACCAGCAGCACACCTGCGCATCGCCTCAAGCTCTATTCCCAAATTCACAAAGCCTGAGACGTGAGCTAGCAAGCACACATTCCTCCCAGCGTCTGTGTCCGGTAGCACATGAACAGCACTACCACCACGGCATGGCCTAGGAGACGCAATCACAGACCTGGATTCACGACTGACTAACAACCAGCCTCAAGCAAACCACTTAGCTGACCTCTTGGACCTCAGTTTCCCCATCTGAAGAAAAACGTGTGTGTGTGCACACGCACGTGTGTGCGGCAGGGGGAGATGATGATATGATTCTGAAACTGTGTGATTCTAACTTAAAAATACGGCAACCTTTGCATAGTTGTTTTTTAAAAAACTCATTGATAATTCAGAAAGTAGCAAACACACTAAGCTGCTCATCTGTTATCCATCCAGGATCTCAAGAAACACATATGAAATATTACATACCACAGACACAGCTTAGCTGAATTTCTAAAGGCTGAAAAAAAAGTAACCCATCAATGGCATCTACTAATGTCAAAGCCAAAGAACAGGTTTCATGTTGTTAAAGTAATAAAATGGAAACATATAAGATTTCAGCCCCATTTTTAAACGGCATATGGATATAAAACGCCCATTAGCTCCTTTACTATACTTTGGTCTCTCTGAGCCAGCCGATAATGTTACAGTGACTCTGAAGACCTGCAACAGTGCCACGACACGGACACTTAACATTGTGCAACAGTCTGTGGTTCAGCTTCTAGGCAAGTGGGGAAACAAGGCTTTTGGAGATTCAAACTTTACAACATAATGGAAGTTAGGGGCATGAGAGGTGAGAGTATAGGATATCATACCCATCGAAATTATTATTCCGACTAGCTGTAAACTGTCACATGTTTCATTACTTACGTAAAACTAATTTTAGACTATTCTTTCCTAGTTCTGTATACCCACAGTTGCCCAGAGAGACCACATATGACCCAAAGGTTATCCTGCATGGTAATTAAGCGCCAGGAAAATGTAGGCACTGACTTTTATCTTTCTATCTCCAAATCTGTCAACAGATTATCTATGTCTATCCCCTTTTCACTGTTCCCTTTGGATTGAGCAGAGACCAAAGGAAATGTAGGCCAAGTATATTTAATATTTTACACCAAACAAGTTATTTGCTTAAGATGGCTTGGCCAGCCTCGTGTCTGGCACTAAAACCCAGCCCGACAGTTCCAGTAGGAATTAAACATCAGTTTTAATGGGTGCTGTGTTCCAATGCCTACTAATGCATTGAGGGTTATTGGCCAACTTCTTCACATAAAGGCAAGAGTGAGTGTATGTGTGTGAACATTTGTGTGTGCCCACGTGTATGTATGGAGGGATTACGGGGGGAGCCGGCCACAGCTGCTTAATTTTTGTAATGCTTTTTTTTTCCTTAATAGGGAGGAGGGTTGCGGTTACTTACCATCCTCATAAGCCGCTACCGCCAGCGAGCTGTTTATCCTCACAAAGGAGACATATGGCTGCATTCCAGGCTCGTCCTCCTCATACTCCGACTCCAGGAAGGGAGCTATGTAGTCCCAGGTGCGGGTGTCCCACACCCTCACATCCCCTGATGTGTATCTGGAAAAGAAAGAGACACCTGGTTCCAAACGGGGAACGTAGAGCAGGGCCATGGTGGAGAAAATGGGCAGAGCCTTCAAACAACAGAGGAATAAGCCTTGGTCGGTGTGGAAGCACTCCTGCGACACCGTTCAGATGAGTAACATCCACAGGAGAAAATGTCAACTAGACAGCAGAAGGCTGTGAACATGTTTCATGTTCTCACAGCACAATAGTGACAATTCCAAATGAGAACATTTGAATAAAAAATTGGGTATCAAGATCTCCTTGTTTTTCCTTTTACACTATTATAACCAATCTGCTACCTTAAGTTTTCCCAGTAAAGGAATCACTAACAGGAATGTATGGAAGCCACAGTATTTATTTACACACGAATGAGAGAGAGAGAGAAACGCTAAGGACTAATGGTCTTACAGGCACAAGCTTTCTAATGCCTCATCCATGCATCAGATTTGACTGATTAAAGTCCCCAAAGACTAATTGATTTGCTGAAACAATTAAATCTTGCCTTTAGCAGCCAGACAATGCTCCCTTCTCATGAAAAGCTCCTGCCGAAATGCATGACACTCCCTGGTTTTGCCCACTTAGAAAACAGGAGCACTCACTCTCTCTTATTACTACTGCCACTCCAACAAACGATGCTCTCCATCAAAGCCCAGGCAGGGCCAGAACCGCTCAGACATGAGGCCCCTAGGATAATGGAATGGCCAGATGACGAGGGGGTGCACTGCCTGCCATTGAGGTATTTACGCTAAGTTCCTTACATCTGCTACAGAGGGTTGATCCAACACATACAGCAACTGTGGGAGGTGTGTTAGAAATGCCTTAAGAGGCCCCTGATGCACCCACACAGACACAAAGACAGCAGACAATTTTAAGGGGTTCACAGTCTTCCTGAGGCCCAAGCCATTGTTCTTTCAGGGTTTCTTGGATCCCACATTATAATACAAAGTGTAACAAGATAACCGCTGAGATTTAATTGCTGAAATCCATGACATATTTCTGAGGCAGTTATAGATCAATTTCTCATGTGAGATTTCTTAATAAAGAAACTAAGAACACTAATTCAAGAGTGATTCATTTACTAAATGTAGCTGTATTTCCCTCAAATTACTAAATGACAGTAAAGACATAATTACACAATTCAAAGGTCACTCTGTCACACAAATTCCCTAAGTTGGAGGATTCAATTCTCTCCCCACAAGATGACACCAGAGAGTGTGTATGTGGTGTAAAAAGCCAAAGAGGAGATACATGCTTTCTAAAATTGGACTGGCAGCCTCTGTTTGACCACTGATCCTCCAGTAAATAGAAACGCTCACTGCGCGAGTGTCATTAAGCCTGGCGATGCACGAGCAAGGGCGGATATTGATATCACCACAGCCAAAGCACGGCCGCTGGCTCCCAGACTCTCCAGGCAGCATTCCAGATCACCCTTCTTAACGAGGAGCCTACACAGGAACACACACCCCGCTGCAGCAAAACCAGCAGGCTCACCTTGACACCCCGAAAACAACTTGGGTGTTCCCTGGCGTAAGGCCTCTAGCTTAGCCACAGAGACACTAAACAGAGGTAACCTGTCTGCATTTCTAGACTCTGTGTGTGATTAGATTCTTAAGCTTAAATTCCAGGTGAAAGGAAGCAGCCACTTCAGAAAGGAAAGGTGAAGAGGATGGCATCGTCTTTCAGAAATACAGAGAAGGTAAGAGAGAGACAGACAGAAGGAATTTAGCAGATCAGAGAACAAAGAAACTTTGAGAAAAAGAAGTGCACAAAGAAGGAAAATGTATTTCCTCTCTCTCAGTCTTGGTCATTCTGTTTTTTATTGCCTGTGGATCGAACCACACCAGGCGTCTTCACGTGGTTCTCTGTGGCGCCCCTTAGGGGCCACAGTGGGGAGCAGAGGGGTACAGAAGAGGGGACTTTAGTGTCCTGAGCTCCAGCCTCCCAAGGCGCCTTTATACAATGAGTTCCAAGGCAAAGCAACAACAAACCAAAACCTGAAAAACTGCTGAAGCACACGACAGTGTGATACAACTACGTGACCTCTCCATTTGAGGGAAGAAGAGCGGGAGGGCAGAGATCGCACAGAGATGAGCATTCTGCTCACATCTACAAGGTTCCTGACGAGTCTTTTCTCCTATGAACTTGTCCCACCCACACTATGACTCCACGTGTCTAAAATGAAACACATGTTCTCCTCAAAAAGCTGCAGCTCACTGCCAACCTAGACTGTTGCTCAATTCCTTATTTTTGTCAGCGACAGCATCAGTCCCAGGTCACTGGTGCAAACCCGAAGGGCTCCTCAACCTCTCTGCCCACTACCCACACCGCTAGAGCCACCAGGTCGCCAGGCCTGTCTCTTCTTCTCACTTCCAGGGATGCCACCTGGTCTAAGTCCCTCCACAGCTCACAGCCGCACCATGACAGCCTACTTCAGAGCCTCTGCCACCTCCAGTCAACCCCGCACACGCCAAGCCCTCAAAAAAACTTGACTTCACGAATCGTTCTCCCCTATCCTCCACTAGACCATGTGCCCTATGATCTCCCGTGACAGCAGCCTGGACTTTTCTCTTGTGGCAATTGTGTGAGGTGATTATCTGACGGTTCATCTCCCCTGAGAACCTACAAGCCTCTAAGGTCAGGGGCTAGGTCCTGCTCACAGCTATGAATCCAACGACTAGAACAGTCAGACCACAATAGCACTTGATACTTCGGAAGCACCCCGTAAATACTTAGGCCTTAACACCTTACTGAGTGAAGTTTTAACCACCGGGCCTAGCACTGAAAACCCCCCCTCCTCCAAAACATGTTCCCCCTGTCCCCAGTCTCATTGTCTCTCTTCTTTAGCATGAGCTGGCCTCCAGAAAAGCCTGCCATTCCCTGGCTCCCAAATACTCTTGTCTCTGAACCTTGGCTCATGTTACCCACCTTTCTGGAGTGCCCTCCCTCCTCACGACCCAGCCCAGTGGGTCTCAATGTTGGTTGCACATTAGAATCACCTGGGATGCTTTCAAAACTCCTGATACCCAAGCACACCCCAGATCAATTAAATTTGACTCTCTGGAGGTGGAACCAGGCATGTTCCTAACGTGCAGCCAAGATTGAGAACCACTGACCAAGCCCAAGCCTAGCAACTCCTCAAGGTCTAGCACAGGCCCTCTTCTTCCATGCAGCCCTCTCTGACTCAACTACTATGCCCTGTATCTGAGAAACGATGTCCCTCAACTTGACAGTAAAGTCCTCGAGAAGGCAGTCCCTCACTGCCGTAGCCTCCACCGCAGGGTCTTACACACAGCTGATAAATAAATGGTGATTGAAAGGGGGTGTCCATAAGCAACAACCCGACTGGTTTGAGTGGCACCTTTTATTTTGACTGCCCACCTTTTCGCACTACTGATCAGGGAAACACCCAGAATGCACACATGGATACGCATTAGACTTCTTGCATTTATCTCCAAGCTGATTAAAAATCTTTTAAACAAAGGATAAGCTAAATTATTTCAGTGAACATGAAATTTTCCATAGATATCCATTTAAATTAACTCCATTCTTCATAGCCAGAGAGCATGATAACAGCATAAATGTTTTGCTGCAAAATGACTGAGGAGGCAAAATATAAAAGACTCTAAGTCCCCTTTATGATGGCAATAGAGAATAAATATCCTATTTCAGCAGGTATTGTGTGATAACTCAGCAGTAGGCTCTAAAATCTCGCACAGGTGAGAGCAACCACAGCAGTGGGGATCAGGCTCAGGGCTAATGAATTTGTGCTAAAGAAACAGACATGAGGGTAAAACACTGGCTGGGGCAGAGGGACCTGGACCAAACCCTAAACGTGATCTAAAAGCACTCAACAACACTGGCCAGGAGAAGCAAGAAAAGATACGGAAGCGAGGTAGGAAAAAAGGCTGATTTTTCTCCAGAGCTCCAGATGTCTTTATCGCTGCCTAATGACAATTACACTCAACCAATTAAGACACCACTATGACAGTTGCATTGTCAGTAAGCCTTTGGACCCAACGTTGATGGCTCTCTAATTAGTGTCGTGCAAAGTACAACTGCAACTAATATATTAGCTGATGTAAGAACACTAAAGAAAAACCGAAGAAGAAAGGAGCCTTTTCCAAATGAGTAAGGATGCCCCAGCCCACAGCACGGACCAGCGCAACTCGAGGCTTTCCCAATCTTTTTCACACTTGGCAAGGTTGAGTTTACCTCCAAATAAATAGGTCAGAGACCGCAGCTGATTTTTTGTTGAAAGAATGGGAATAGAGCCTCTCTCAGGCTTGGCACGCCAGAGCAATTGCCACTTTAAAATGATTTACCACCAAAGAGCTTTCATTAACTAGTAAGTTTCCAATAGCAGACTACTTATTTAGACTAAGAGATCCAAAGAAAAAAGAAGACATGTACAGCTAAAAACCACCTTTAACCTTTCTTCTTGTATAAATATCCAATGGGGTGGGAGGAGTGGGGGATATTTCCATTTTATTTCCAGATGCCAGTGCTTATTTGCTAAAAACAATTTTTTTCAAGGCTCTTCACAAGAACCTGGAGGGTCGTTTTAAGAATCCTGGAAGTAAGGTTAAGTGACTTATCCAAGGTCGCAAGAAACATTTTAGTGGCACAGCTAGGATCACAACAGGTCCCCAGGCTTTTCTCAAACTGCCGCCTCCTCCAATGACAGTATCTTTAAACAAATACAGCTTTTAAAAACCATCTCCATTTAAGTGCAATATGAGAAATTTACTGTTTTCAACACTGTGACTCAGGCTTGCAGGACATAGCCCCTGACCCTAACTCATCAATTCTACCACTACACCTCAACTGGAAGGCAAGAAGCCAAAAAAAGCTCAACATGCTGGCAAGGAGTATGTGGCTGGGCAGATGCAACAGTGCTTCCCACACTAGCTTCACGGTGATGTGGGAGCACACATGGAATGACTGGTTAAACCTCACCCTCTACAGGGCCACACTCACCCCCAAACAAAGTCACA